AAAATCCGAAACTAGTTTCGGATTAGAACCCTTCCGAAACTAGTTTCGGGTAGGTTTCGTTTCGACGCCATCTTTGGAACAGAATCATCATCAATATCATTTTTTGCGTGTAAATTTTATAAAAATTTTTGATTATTATATGCCGCAAGTGAATATGGACTTTAAGTTAATTTGGAATTAGTAAGATTGATTATGTTCTCGATCTAAGTGAATTCCTAATCAATTTTAGTAAATGTTTAATTGAATAACTAAAGTTACCAGGCAGGTAATGCTTGATAACGGATTTATTTGGTCAAAGGTTTGAGATCAGCCTAAGGAATTGGATCCTTCGTAATTCATTTTTTAGGTTGATTTTAAATCTTGATCAAATCAATGAGCTATAAGTAAAGTTGTATCTCACGCGAGGTACAGTAAATCATTCATTTAAGATAATTTAATGATCTCAATAAAAAACTTTTTTTCTCTAAAAATTTATCACGTGAACCACTCGATGTAGGTGTGTGAATATATGTTAAGTTTATCTCGCGAGAGGTACATCTCTAGCTATAAGAAGTATTATCATGACTGATAATTATTTTGCGGATTACGATTTATATACAACAGTTAAAAAATAGTTAAACCCGGAAGAAAGGGGAAAAACTACATATGGATAGAGAACTTAAATAAAATCGAAGAAATTCAATATAGGATCTTTGCTAGAAAAAGTGACCTCCGGGACTATATAGAATTTATTATAAAATTTAAAACTACTATTCAACCAATAATTCAATTTGAAAACTTTATTCTTTTTTTATAGAACTTAATGAGCTCTACAAAATAAATAAAACTAATAAAGTTTATTCAAATTGAATCATTGGATGGTTGGTAAATTTAAGTTTTATTCATAAATTCTAGATCGTCTCAGATGGCACTTTCTTAACAAAATCTCATATAGTAAAAAAAGGATAAATTTTAAATCTTATTAACGGAATAAAAGTAAATGTTCATTAAAGTTAATATGAACGTACTTAATTAAAACAATTTAGATATGTATTTAATTAAATTGTTTGGACGTTCGGTTATAATAAAAAGAAAATGTGCTAAACACATAAATAATGAATACAATATGTATTTTCATACATTTAATTTTTAATTTACATTCAATATAATCCATAAATTATTCTTTATAACTATTCAATAGTATAAAACATATCTGAATTCTTTGCAAGAGACATTACTTCTTTAGTATCGAATAGAATTAATAACTTTTCACTAGATGTTGATTTGTTATTATATTCGTTTACTAAATCATCTATATTTGGATAATTTTCATTAGAGTAAATAAATTCATCATTTTGTTCATATTGTTCAACTTGTTCATTTCCCATCAGTTCTATTATTTCTTTAAATATTTCATCATACTCGGATAATTCTACTAAAATTTGTTCATTCTTTTGCCATTCTGTAAAAGTTTCCACTATTTTAGTTGCAGATGGACGTCTATCCGGTTCACTGTCCCAGCATTGTCTCATTAAACTAACATAACACGTTTCTGCCTCTTCAAGAATTGGCGGTCTTAATCCAAACCATAAGACAAAAACTGGCGGCCTTGCTTCATTGAGCACTATTTCGATTTGCTGTTGCCGTTGCGATCTGAATACATGATCATAAAGTGCACATAATGGTACTCCGTATAATATTTCCCACATAATAATACCAAATGAGTAAATATCTGATGCTGTAGTATATGATTTTTTCGTTAAAGCTTCTGGTGCTATGTACGGTAAAATTCCGCAAATATTATCAATTTTTGAATCAATTGATATCGAAAGTCCTAAATCTGCAATGTATGCACTTTCTAAATGATTTAGTAAAACATTTCCACTATGTAAATCTCTATGAATAAGTTCTTGTGAATGAATTATTTGAAGATCAGAAGCAAGACAATTTAATAAATTTATTTTATTTTTCCATTCTAGTTTTACTACTAAAGAAAGATTGTCGCGTAAGGATCCTATTTGTGCACATTCTATAACAAGAATATAATTTTTAGAAATATCATGTTTTGATATTCCGTGACACCTTAAAAATGTTGGATGTTTATTGCCAATATTACAATATGCTTTTAACTTTTATCATAAATAAATTGTTAAGATATAATTTATTAAATTTCAAAACTGATAGCACATAAATAAAATTACCTCTCTTATAAATACATCACGATGTTCTTTCGAATTATGAACCAATTTAAGTGCAACAAGTTGACTGACGCGTCGGTTTTGATCTATCCACGTCGCGCGATATACAGTTGCAAATCCACCTTGCCCTATTCTTTTGATATCTTTAAAATCTTTATAAGGAATCCAAGATAACGGGTATTTACTTTCAGTTAGTATTGTTTTTAAATCATTATCAATATCTAAATTGTTAAATATTTGCCTATTTTTTGCTAAGGAAAATTAATAGTTAGATTAAAATAATTTGACAAATAAATAATATACTAGACCAAAATTAGTTACTTAATATTTGTTCCCGTTCTCTAAAAGATTTTTTTGATATTTATAGTTATTAAAAAGAAATTATATATTATAGTAATAACATGAAACAACTATTTACTTTTGATACCATTCATTAGCCTTTTGTAACTCTCTTGTTACTCCAATTCCATTTCGATAACAATGTCCAGCCGCATTCATTCCATAAACGTTTCCCATCTCTGCTGATTTTTGAAAATAAATAAATGCCATACGCACATCTTTTTCAACTCCAATTCCTTCAGCGTAACATTTGCCAAGCGCAAATGTTCCTTCAGCATCTCCCATTTCTACAGATTTTTGATAATAAATGAATGCCTTATGCTCGTCCTTTTCAACTCCAATTCCTTCCTCATAATAATATCCAACCATATATATTCCTCCAACGTACCCCATCTCAGCAGATTTCTGGTAATAAATGAACGCCTTATGCTCATCTTTTTCAACTCCAATTTCATCCTCATAACAATATCCAACCATATATATTCCTTCAACGTGTCCCATCTCAGCAGATTTTTGGTAATAAATGAATGCCTTATGTTTATCCTTTTCAACTCCAATTCCATGTTGGTAACAATTCCCAACTCCAAATACTCCATCAGCATGCCCCATCTCAGCAGCTTTTTGATAATAAATGAATGCCTTATGCTCATCCTTTTCAACTCCAATTCCATCTTTATAAAAATCTCCAATGGCATATGTTCCATTAGCGTGTCCCATCTCTGCAGATTTTTGATAATAAATGAATGCCTTATGCACGTCTTTTTCAACCCCAGTTCCATCCTGATAACAATGTCCAACATTATACATTCCATCTGCGTCTCCCATCTCTGCAGATTTTTGATAATAAATGAATGCCTTCTGTTCATCCTTTTCAACTCCAATCCCATTACAATAACAATATCCAACCATACATGTTCCACTAACATTTTTAATTTCTGCAGATTTTTGATAATAAATGAACGCTTTACGTTCGTCCTTTTCAACTCCAAACCCATCTTTATAACAATTTCCAAGTGCAAATACTCCGCTTGCATATCCCATCTCTGCAGATTCTTGAAAATAAAAGAATGCCTTATGTTCATCCTTTTCCACTCCAATTCCATTACAATAACAATATCCAACCATATATGTTCCACCAGCGTTTCCAATCTTTGCTGCTTTTTGATAATAAATAAATGCCTTATGTTCATTCTTTTCAATTCCAATCCCATTTTGATAGCAATATCCAATATTAAATGTTCCTTTAGCTTCTCCCATCTCAGCGGATTTTTGATAATAAATGAACGCCTTACATTCATCCTTTTCAACTCCATTTCCATCTTTATAGCAGTTCCCAAGTGCTAAATTTCCAGCAGCGCTCCCTATTTCTGCAGCTTTTTGAAAATAAATGAATGCCTTATTTTCATCTTTTTTAACTCCAGTTCCATTAAGATAGTAATTACCAGCATTAACTGCTCCAGTAGCGTGCCCCATCTTTGCTGATTTTTTATAATAAATGAATGCCTTGTGTATATCCTTTTCAACTCTAATTCCTTTATCATAAAGGCATCCAGCATTATATGCACCACTTGCATTCCCTAATTTTGCTGATTTTTGATAATAAACGAGTGCTTTATATTCATCCTTTTCAACTCCAATTCCATTCTTATAACAACTTCCAAGCGCAAATGTTCCTTGAACATCTCCCATTTCAGCTGATTTTTGATAATAAACGAATGCCTTATGTTCATCCCTCTCAACATTAATTCCATGTTGATAGCAATAGCCAGTTGCATACATTACTTTAGGATCTCTTATCTCGGAAGTTTTTTGAACAATTAATGACATATTGCAAATTGATTAAGAAAGAATTTTACTAATTGATATACGGAATTTGTTCTAAAAAGCGCGTATTTTTAATCAGACTGGAAAACTTATCATATAAAATCGACGTCTTTTATTTATCTGTTATTAAACAGAAACCTGTCCTACAGTATCTAGTATATTTCTGGGTCTCATCATATTAATATATGTATATATATTTTAAACGATATTCAATTACGTATTCAATTTTAACTTGTGCAGCTTGCTTCTATGATTATTTTTTTTTCTGTTTATTGTGCACGGATCGACGAGAAAATTTCCTCACAATTTTTAAAAAAGGAAGGATATATTTATAAAAATTATTGATGCTACGTACTTGCATATGCTACTTTCAAATGCTACCTGCATATTGCCCTTTCAGATGCTACTTGCATATTGCTTTTTCAAATGCTACTTGCATATTGCTTTTTCAAATGCTAAATTGCAAATAGTGTTATGAGCCGATTAAGGGTCAATCGGGACTTATACACGCTCTAAATGTTATGTACGATATGCGTAGTACTATCATTGTTTATCAAACAAGCGGTAATCTGAATAATGATAAAACCTTCGCTTATTGTTCCAAAATATGTAGCATTCAATTTTAGACCCTTTATTTTGTAGTACAATAGGCCTTTAGAATTGTACTCAATAAATTGGTATACAATTTGTTGATGTGTAGTTAGTTAGGGTTGATGGCATGGGTTCCGCCTTACTCCACCGAAAATCATTTCATCGACAGTTCACTTAGCCAACATCACGCCAAGTGACAATTTGATAAAAATATATACCTGCAACTAACCCTAACCGTATGTGATGTCGGCTAAGTGAAATTTATTGAAATTATTATCGATGGAATGAGCAGCACTGTGTTGGTTGGTATATTGTGTAGGTATATAGTGTAATAATGTCGTATTAACTCTATCACATGGTTCAAATATTTATGATATTTAAATCCATAGTGATTATTAAGAAATTTGCTGATTTTAGTTATTTCGATATTTTTAATTATTAGCTGTAAATTTTGGCGGTATTTTGGGAGTTTAATTATCGTTTAATTATTTCTTCTCATGTTATGCTTTCGAGTTGTTTCTTGAAGTCGTAGAATTCTTGTTCTATGATTGCTTCTATTCCTTTTCTTATTCTTCAGGACTCCTAAATTGATGTTTTACTACTTAGTTGATTAAGTCATCTATTATATTGACTTGATCGATATTTTAGGCTCAATCACTAGCACTACCTTGCAAATCGTAAATCTTCCTTCATCCGAAAGAAACAATATGCTACTGTAAAAAAAAAATTGCAAATGTTGTAAGAAAATTGACATTTTTTTCCTGATATTTTCACGGAGTTACCTAAACTACCGTGTATTTGCGGGTCTTTACTATCAAACTTCACACGTTTGGCTAATTACGCGATGGCTGGAGTATCGTACGTACCAGATACTACCACCACCAATATTACGTGATGGTCGATCATGCAACGCGTAAGTTACACGAACTCGATCCTGATCCCGTGTTACTAAACACGTGTCGACCAAATCTACCATGTCAGATATCCATATATAGGATAGATAAATTGATAATAATTGAAAGATCTTGACAAAAGAATTTAGCAATCATTTTAAATTTAAACTAGGAGCCGAAAGTGCATGATGATTGTTTTTATCAGATTAACCAATCTAAATCCATAATTTGCGGACACACACATTTGTGTAAGCATATAGTCTGACCATAGTATTCTCAAAAAATAAATCCTATCGCCATGGTATGCCTTATAAGACAACTGAGGTAACACGCACGATTGATATCTAGGTGCCTCGTTTATCACTGAGGTAAAAACCGATCTAATAATATGCTTTTTCAATGTGATTAATTTATGATTTAGGCTTATTAGAATTCCCTCTTTGAGAGGATCGTTTTGGTAGTTAAGAAACTAATTAGAAAATACTCATCTTGAAGCCCTATTGCTTATAATACTCTATACAGAATATGTGTATTTATGCCTAT